ATTTTAATTTATTTTTCATTTCAATGAACATCTACAGAGATTTTGGAATTCCATTCATTCATTGTTGCACCCTTCTCCCCGCCCACACCACCTCACCCCTCACCCCCCCCTTTGCTCCTCTCCTTGAAAAGCAAAACTCCCTCATTGGTACACAATTCCCCCACACACACCTCCCCCAATCCCACCCCCAACCCCAAATATAATCCACTCTGCAACCCTCATTGCATACTCCTACGATAATTATTTTTTTAAAGATTCTTAAAAATATGTTCAAAGTCTTACCTCCCCTCAGTGAATAATTACATTTTTCTTCCTTAAATGTGTCAGGAAGCAAAGCAGGTCTTTGAGGCAAGGATTTTACACAATCTGAAATTAAAGAACAATATGTTATGACTTCATCCAAGCAAAGTAAACCTGCTGCCATCGGACAATTCCAACAAACAACCGCCCTGCGGAACAGAGTAGGACAGCTGCCTCATCTTCCTCCCACAGGCCATCTGGAGCCTTCCAGCCTCTGAGCTTTCGGTTAGCAGCCAAGCACTCCCTAACTACCACAGCATCAAGGCATCTATTAAAGCAAGAAGTGACTTTTACACAAAAATGTTAATATTAAAAACTATTTTTCCAGAAATATTTTCCACAGTTGGTTCCTAATTCTTCGGGAAATAAAGAAGGACTCTTTTAACCTCCTTTTAAAAAAAAAATTAACAACATACTATTCTCTTCAACTTCTATTAGTATTTGAATCACCCTTCAAAGGAAAATAGTGTGCATCCACACACATTATCTTGTACCATATCTTGTTAAAATTATATATTTGATCTACTGATGGAATGAGGACAGGAGGAACTTTTCCCCTCTCTGATGAGAAAGACTATTTTAGAAGCAATTTCCTACCTTCCTCAGAAGCAGGATACAGTAAGTCTTCCTCTGATGCTTTTGGACAATAATATTGAATAGGAACTTCCTGTTCTCCTTTATTGGAGACTGTTCTCCACTTAAATGAACTTTGGTGTCTTTTATGCATTTTAGGACCTACTGTCATATCAGAGAGCAAAGGGGAGGCGCACATTTTGTTGCCTGTAACCAGATTCAAATCATTTCTTCTTTCCCTTTCTGCCTTCTCAGTACCATTACTTTCTCCAAAATAATTATCTTGCCCAATGTTTGTTGCCATAGTGCTCAGAATTTCATTTTCCTTACTAATTTCATGAAACATATGAAGTTCTTGAAGTACTAAATCAAATTTACTTCTCATTTCAAAATCTTTCCCCATTGTCTGAGCTTCTGTTGACAAACACTTAGCAGTTATGTCCTGAAAACATTCATTGTTCCCTGCGTGCAAATCAGTTTTGAATTGATGATTAACACATTCTGTAGAGTCATTGTTTCGATGAAAATGCTTTGAATTAGCTAACTCACTTTCTTGCAGAATACTCTCATATTCATTTCTGGCATCAACACTTTTATTACGATTAGCAAGCATTTGGTTTGTCTGCATAGCATCTCCCACATTTACTTTTTCACTCATTAATGAAGCTGATTGTGCAGAAAACTTGCCATCCATTGGAGAAAAACTTTTTTTCTTATCTTTTTCCATCTTAACATCTTTGTGAATTTGGCAAGTGTTTGTTAAACTTTGTGTTACAATTTTTACTTCTTCCTTCAAAACTATGTTATACATTTCCCCCTCAATTCCATTTAGCAAGTTTCCCAAATTGGGCACCTGAGTTACTGTACTGGTACTAGCTTGTTGACCATATATTGTTCTATGATCTGTGGGGATAACCTGTTGCTGGACATTAAAGACATCCTCAGGCATACACTCACATTGGAAGTTAGTGATTATATGTGGTTTTCTTTTAGTAACTGAATCTTGGTTGAGTAAACTTATTTCATAAATGTTTCCATTGGTATATTGGTCATTTTGAATAAACTGAGGATCAGACTTAACTTTTGTTTTAATAGGACTAAAATAGGTCAAATTATCCATGTTTAAGATTCCTTCAGGATAGTTATCCTTACAACTAATTTCACTTGTCACAGAAATGTCTTTCAAGTCATCAAAGTGCATTAAAAGAGAATTGTTTTGGTAACTCTCAAAAATTGTAAAACACATCTTTTTAGAAGTCACACTGCTAAACTTTTTCTTATATCTTTCAGAAACTTCTCCAGTTTCAAATAGCTTTCTTTTCTTTAACACAGGTGCCATATTATCTTTTAACATTTGTGGAAAAGTCAAAATCCTTACAAGGTAAGCTAAATAATGTTCTACTATAATAATTTTTTGATCATTCAAATCCATTAGCCACTTGAAAATATGTTTCTCTTCTAATTTAAATTCATCTTCAACTTTTTTTGAAGAATCAAGGCTATCGTTGACTTTCAGTATAATATTTAGCATTTCTAAAGCATTCTGAATATATATGCTTACAACATCATTTTTTCTATCCACATTCATAGTCTTGGTTATTAAATTTTTAATCGCAATTTTATTTTTGCTCTTCAAAATTTCATAGCAGGCTAAAGTATTATCTCTTTTACTTCTTGAAATATCTTTATGGAAACACAAAATTTCCTTAATAAAACTTTCCAAAATGTTGCTTAAAATTAAGATTTTTTGTGCACTGTAATAACTCAACTGTCGCATGTTATTCTTTCCTCCTAAGCAAATTATTTTAATTAAAGTTTTTTTGCTACCCATTGTCCCTGTCATAAGAGGTTTTGATTGTTCTTTGTACAGATTCATGGTTCTTGTACTGTGATAATCTTCCTTGTGTAAGAGGTATATTTCTAAGAATTCTTGCAAATTTAATTTTTCTCCACTTATTTTCCAGGTTTCACAGTTAGTCTTATACTTATGCAAAGTCCCACAATTTTCCCACTTTCTCTTCAAAATGCATAGAGTGTTACTCTCTGAACTTTTAGATTTCGACATGTACCTGTCCAGACACATTTCTGTTTCTTTTCTTTTTGCATTTCCTAGTATTATAGTAATAATCTTTTGAGAGATTCTTACATCACTTTTGACACTACTGTGGTTATAGTAGTTTAAACTAATCAAGTCTTCCTTTCTCTTACAAGTATTTTTGTTACTGAGTGATTGATAGTAACCTTCATAACACTGTGAAAGAGTCTTTTCAGCAGCCACCATTTTATTATCATTTTGTAGCGTTTGCCTCTTAGATTCAGGTCTATTTTGAGAAAAGTAAATGGTTGTGAAATCCCTAGCATATGTCTTATTTTTATCAATTTTTTTCTTTGCAATTTCCTTTAAATAGACAGAGGACATTTTGCTATGTAAATCAGTTGGAAACTCAAGGATACTTATTGTGCTGTTATCTCGAAAATAGAAGGGTTTGACAATTTCCAAGCTGGGCTGGATTGGAGGTTTTGATATTTCTAGTATAGATGCTAAGACGTTATTTTCTTTTTTACTTGATGGCATAACACTGTGGGCTTTACATCTGTTCTTAATTTCATGAAGTGTTGATTTCGCTTTTTTGTAAAAGGTAACAACTAAAAATGGATTTTCTGCTTGTTTTCTATCTCTGCTGTCTTTCTGACTATCCTGTGTCCCTTGAACTAAACAATGGTTTCCATTCTTGGTTTTCTTTCCATATAGATCACACCAAGTGGGTTTGGACAGAGGCTGATTCGTTTCTCCTTTAGATGTATCGCTGTTTTCCACAAGGGAAACCCCTCGTACATCTAGTTTTTGTTCACAAGACCTGCCTGGAGTCGTCAAACCAGAATCAAAATGTTGTGAGGGGAGAGCCCATAACCAACTTTTCTTCTCAATTTTGCTGTTTGGGCATTCCCTATTACTAAGTAAAGTATTCACACAGGAGTGTGAGGAGGAGTCAAAATTCACATTCAGTGAAAAGAGTGCCTCGAAAGGTCTGGGCGGCAACTCCCAGGTTTTTTCCACCTCAGACAAGCGAGGCACCAATGGCAGCGTCCACCACGCCTCAGAGACCAGGCCAGGCTTTTCAAGACGGGGCCGTTTGCTACGAGGAGATTGACAATCAAGGTCCTCATGAGGTTGTAGAGAGGAAGCTAGTCCTCTCAGTTCAGCAACTTTCAAAGTAGGACGCGACATCACTGGGAGCAGAAGCCACCTGGTCAAAGTTCTCCCCTGTTTCTAGGCTATTGACGAGCGCAAGGAAGCTCCACACAGCCCCACATTCGTCTAGGCCACGCTCACGACACGCCCCTCAAATTGCATGTAAGCCGGAATCTCTATGTCCGCCAGGGCTAGGCCCCTCCCCTTCCCCCGCCGCACTATAGCCACGCCCACTGCGTCCCGCCCAGGCCCCGCCCACCTTGGAATCCCGTCGCCTCAGGCCGTTGCCTATTTTTACAGCCTCGCACAAATCCCGCCACATTAGCTTCTTCTGTGTATTGTCTTCTCTTACTCTGATAAATGAAAAAGAAACAAAATAAAGAGAAAAGCCAATCTCTTTTTTTAAAGAAATGTTTGAAAATGGAAATTACTTCATTCTGAAAATGCCTTGTTTTCCTCACAGGCGGCTTCTCTGTTGCCCTCGTGTGTCGTCAAGTATAGTTCTCTAAACATCTGACCAAATCCAATTGCCCTGAGAAAAACTTTTTTAAACACGTTCAGTCATCTCATTGGTACTTAAAAATCAAGTTCACCGCGTTAGCAAGCTGTATTTTGGAATAAGAAGTCACAAGTCCTTAACACTCTAAATATGTCAGAAAAAGTTGGTTAAGTGTGTGGAAATTATTATCTGGATAATTATTAATCTTAAGAGTGTGGAAAAATAAATTTCATTTGTTCTGTAAAATTTTACTTCACTTAAAGACAATAGTTAAACGATTAAACTATTTCTTGTAACACAAGTCTAACACGGAATAACAAATATGTTTTAAATATTTGCTTTGAGGATCTTTTTCTATGATTTTTCAGTTAATACTGAGGTTCTGTGAATTACGTAAAAAAGAAATTTCAAAATATTTGTTTATTATATGCCTGTTTATTAAGAGACATGTAATAGTTGTTAGTTTCTATCAAGTCTATTCTGACACATGACAAATGAAGGCACGTGAAATTCTTTTTGATAAATAAAAACCTCAATTCCCTTGGTGATTGTTTCAAGAGAGGCATGTTTTATGTTCTGTAGTAAAAATATAGAAGAACCACAATACTAAGTAGTAATATCTTTATTTCAAAATTTAAAGGTGTGTATGGTATGTGGTAATATATGGTCCAGCAAAGTATAATAGGATAATAGGATGTTTATCAGCCACCTTTCATATATATTCTTAGATATATCGTGATTCTGAGTATTTGTCATAACTTTAGTGCATAAATTTCTCCTGAGTACTGATTACTTAAATTTGCAGAAAGTCTTGCAGGATAAACAAGACTTCAAGAACACTGCAAGAATGTGCTAGTGGTTCAGAATGTTCACCAGTGAATTTTCAAAATTCTACATATCTTGTGTTCCAATGCTTTCCTCTCTATTTTCCAATAATCTCCAGACCACTCTAGTTCAATTTCTTTTACATTGTAATCAATCACTAATAGTTACTTGGTAAACCTTACTTGGTAAAGTAAGATAGATACAATTGGTATATTAAGTGATTTCATGAGTAGGATTTTTCACCTGGGAAATAAATACCATAGCTTTTTTATTTTTATTTTACTTCTATTGTTTCCTTGTTTTTTATTTTAGCTAATTTTCCCAAGAGCGTACCAGGTGTTTCAAGGGATGTGTGTGTGTGTGTGTGTGTCTCTAATTATGTTAAATTCAACAAGTGTTTGAGAACTACGCCCAAGATGTTGTTGTTATACTGTTGTGCACTAATAGGCCAATTCTGCCTTATAGTAAAGCTAAATAACAAAGCATAACTGCTTGATGGGATCCATAAGGTTTCATTCCTTCACTATCAGGCATACAGAAATATAAAGAATTATTTTCTATACCTTATGGACATTTACAGCAAAGAAGATAAAAGAATTCTTTGCTTGCATTCACTTTATCTAAACATTACATTTATTTCTACTCCTATTTTAATCAATGCAGTAGTCCCTGGGTGGCAAAATATGGTTAAGTGCTTCATGACTACTAACCAAAACGTTAGTAGTGGTTGGATCTACTCAGTCACCTCAGAAGACAGACCTGCCCAGTTTGCTTCCAGAGATCACAGTTTTTAAAATCTTCTGAAGATATTGTGCTCTGTATATATGAGGTTGCCTTAAGTTTGAACAACTCAGGGAGTTAACAATAACAAGCAATGTCCTTATTTTTTTTTAATAATTTTAATGAGCGTTTACAGAGATTTTGGATTTCCATTCATTCATTGCTGCACTTCTCTCCTGCCCAGCCCTCCACTCCCTCCCCAGCTTGCTCCTCTCTTTCAAAAGTAAAAGAAACACTCCCTCCCTGGTACACAATCCACCCCCCCCCCGTCCCCCCGCACCCCTCCCACCTCCTCAAATACATTCCACTATGCAACCTTAATTGTGGACTCTTGTGATAACCATAATACCCTATCATACATCACTTTTATTCACTCACTCATCTGTTTCAGTGCAGTATGCACAATTTATCCAGTTTTTCTCAGTCTTACCCCAACCCTGATATCAGTCCCATTTTACAACAGTGGCACCATGCAATGTTTGTCCTTTTGCGACTGAGATATTTCACTCAGCATAATGTCCTCCAGGGTCACCCATTTTTAATAATATTGCATGAGTTCCTTGTTTTTCAATGCAGCGTAGTATTTATTGTGTGAATATACTTCAGCTTCTCTATCCTTTCTTTTGTTGATGGGAGCAATGCCCTTATTATAAATGTATTTGCCTTCTTTATAAAGAGTAAATTGATCTTCTAAGGCAGCTCCTGTCTGATTGCTTTGAAAATAGTGTCATTAGAGTTCATATTTGAATGAAGAATTAATGAGTTCATAAAGAGATAACATAAGTTTCTGTGAGATTTGTCAGAAATTTTATCTAGTTTCCTTGTCATACTATATTTACAACTAGGCCTGACAACTTTTTCAGCATTTTCCTTTCTCTCTTAATTCAGAACTACACCAGACTTTTTACTCCTTTCCCCCCATCTCATGCATGTTCTCTGTACCTTTTTCTTTCTCAACCTAGCAAATTCCTACACAGAAGTTACTTCTGTTGTGAAAATGTCTTTATCTCCTTTCTACCATAGTCAAACCACTGAAAGATTTACTTGCACCCTCAACCATGTTCCCATAGTGCTTTATGTTTTCATTCTATTATAAGGCATAAACAATCTTTTAGTAGTTGTTTACATGTGTTCTCCAGAAAAGTGTTTAATGAAAGGCAAAGATTTGTTTTTACATCTCCAGTGCCTCAAACCATACCAGTTAATGACTGTAAATTAAATGACACTATTGTTAATTATCCTTTTACCAACCTAAATGTATTTAATGCTGCCCTGAAAGTATTAAATGTTTGTTTGTTTGTTCTATCTTGTTCTGGTTTGAGATTTGTTTGAGGTTATATGATGACAAGGGTCAAAAAATAAAGTTTCATAATCCTGAATTTATTGTCGTGCCCTTGAGTCCATTCTGATTTACAGAGATCTTACATGTAACAGAAAAGAAAACCTGCTTGATCCTGAGTCTACCTTACACTCTGTGCTGTGATTAAGCCCACTATTGCAATCATTGTGTCAGTGCACCTTGTTGAGAGTCTTACTTTCTTTTGCTGCCCCTCCACCTTTCCAAACATGATCTCCTTTTCCAAGGACTGATCCGTCTTGGAAACATGTTCAAAACATGTGATGAAAAGTCTTATAGTCTTTGCTACTAAAAAGAACTCTGGACATGTATTTGTTGTTTTGTCAGTCTTTGATATGCTTAATATTTTTGCCTACAGTACAATTCAAAATCATCAAATCTTCTTCCATTTTCCTTGTTCACTCTCCAATTTGCACATGCGTATGAAGCAATTTAAAATGTTGTTGTTGTTGTTTGGTACCGTCGAGTTGTATACGACTCATAGCTACCCAATGAACGAACGGCCTGAGCACTGTTCGTACATATAGTTTCCGGAGGCAAGCCATTTCAGAAGTGGATGCCGCTTCTGTCTCCGGCTTAAATCATGCACATCTTAACCTTCAAACTGACATCCTTGCTCTTTAGGATTTTAAAGAGGCTCTTGATAGGATATTTGTCCAATGCAATACGTCTTTTGATTTCATGAATACTGTTTATGGATCCAAGTAAAATTATATCACTGACAACATCAATGTTTTCCCCAACTATCATAATGTTGCTTATTAGGCCAATTATGAGGACTTTAGCTTTCTTGACCCAAAGATATAAACCACACTGAACTGTAGTTGTATGTTTTCTTCAGTAAGTGCTTCAAGTCTTCACATTCAATAAGCAACGTTGTGTCATCTATATAATGTGGCTTGTTGATGATTGTTCTTCCAATCTTGATGCCTTTTCCTTTTTCATAAAGTTCATTTTCCCCAATTGTTTGCTCAGCATACACATGGAGCAGGAAGTGTGAAAGGATACAACCCTGAAGAAATTTTTCTCCTTATTTTAAATCATTAGTATCCTCTTGTGTTGAATTCTCATTCTTCTCAATACAATTTATTATGATCCACACAGTTGAACACTTTTGCATAGTCAATAAAACAAAAGTAAACATCTTTTTTGTATTCTCTACTTTCAGCCAAGATTCATCTCTGACCTCATTTCTATCACCAGTGTCATATTTTCCAACTTCCAGCCAAGATTCATCTCTGACCTCATTTCTATCACCAGTGCCATATTTTCCAACATTTGCATTCCAATAACTAGTTAGTATTAATGAATCTTGATAAATTAATAAATTAAGGCCAATCAACTTCAGAATTCAGAGGCTGGCAAAAATGATCAGATTCTTTGTCTCTAACTTTGGTGGCTGAAGTGTAAATTTGAATAATAATATTAGCAGGTAGCTCTGGTATGGGCATGCATATTTAACTATCATCGGCATAGATCTTGAAAAGTTCTTTTTTTGATGATGAATGTGATGCTATTCCTCTTCAATTTGTCTTTGCTGTCACAGTAGACCATAAAATTGTCTGATTCAAAATG